TCCTGGCACCTCCATTTTTTTTTGCCTCCTCGAGCTCCTCATCATCCTCCTCCTCCTCCTTCTCGTCCTCCTCGTTCCTACTCCTCCTCCTGCTCCTCGTTCCTCCTCCTCCTTGAATTTCACAGTTGGGACGTCATACTACCCAGTGGTCCGTGCCGCTGGGCAGGACCAGAGGCTGTACAACGTAACTACCTCCCCTCCCACACCGTCCTACAGTTTTGGCCCCGTCAGGGGAAGTGGGTCAACAAGAGCTGTGGAAATGGCCATACTAATAAGCCGTAGAATAGACGAGAGAGCCATCCGCGAGATCTGCACCCCACCCAACTACCTCCAGGGACGTGTGGCAGGAGCCCGACGAACTACGACCCACTACGATTACGCCTTCTTCGTATGCTACTACGCCCCTACCCATCAGCGTTACTACCCTCTGCTGGCGGACAGCCTTACCCACTGGTTGGATGAAAGTACAGACAAACTAGGATGCCGCACTACAGTAGTACTGGGGGGCGACGTCAACAGTACAGAGGGAAAGTCGACGGTTCCATCGTCTGCAGTAAGAGCCCCCACAATGGGCCCCCACCGACCTAAGGTAGAGAACAACAACGGGACCCGCTTCAGAGAAATGTGCGAAGCCAGCGATCTCAGCATCGTCACCACCCACCACAACATCGGGGCTACGTACTACGGCCACTCTGGGTACACCAGCAGGGTGGACCACGTTGCTATCCGTACAGGCAACCTCCCCTTAGTAAAACGGTGCGAAGTACTACACCTGTCAGGTAAACGACTACAGGACATCAACGTGCGAGGCCATCGCGACCAAGTCCCGGTTGGCCTCACCCTCCTCGCCTCCGCCTCCACTGCCGCCTTCCCACCCCGCGCCCGCTTACAACATGGATTCTGCAGGGATGGGCGTATGGACAGCCTGCGCAGCGGCCACGAGCGAGGCCAGCCGATACAACAGCTGAACCAGAAGGTGCGGGCGGTGGGCAAAGGCAGGCGGGAGGAGGCCCTTGCAGAACCGACTCCATATACTACTTGGGACTTGGTAGGAGGCGCAGCAAGGAAGGCACTACGAATCACACCTGCGAAGACGGATGAGACCGACGAGTTCGACGAACCAACTACCAGGGCCAAACGACAGAGACTACGATTGCTCGAACAACGGCGAGTGTTGCGATCACGAGTGACCGACGAGAGCTCAGCGATCGAGTACGACGGGGTACAGGCCGAACTTCAGGAGTTGAGTGCTGTCCTAAACACAGTAAGATAGACGGTAGAGAAGGAGAGAACGGCGCATATCGTCGAGACCATATGGGAGGCCTATCAGCAGCGCAACTTCGCAGATATGCACCGGCTACGGATCCAGCGCCAGCGGGATGGACGAGGCCCGAGAAAGAGGTACTACCTATCACCAAAGCAAATTGGGCCACGGCGCGCTGGCTAGAAGAACTCAGACGCTCGGCGCTAGACGGGGGGTTAGCAGCGATACTGATCGACCGAATTTACAAGCGAGCCCAGCATCGCGAATACACGGCCGAATCAGTACGTAGACAGACTACCCGTAGACACGGAACTACACGCACAGGTTGCCGACGACAACAAGGGCTATGCTACGCTATTGCCAACGAGCGTGCAAACGGCGGACATGGCCAGCCTGGGGCATCCAGACCGAGCTCGCATGGCTCGTGCTAGACTCTACGCTACATCTTCACAACCCGACCCAACTATCCTACCAGCTAGGAGAGCGTAGAATAGTAGCAGCAGAAAGGAGAAAGGACGAAGAGGGCCTAGCCCTCCACACTACACTGGGAAAGTTCAAGAAGGGCAGGGAGCTGCTGCATAAGTGCGGATGGACTACGAGCAGTGAACTGGGGAGGGGGACCATGCAGCAACGCGAGAGTTCCGAAGCTGTGCGGGCACAACGATCCTACGGGGCGGGCAGGGGTATTTGCGCAGGACTAGGAACCACCAAGATCAGCGAACTGGACTACGAGTGCCAGGACTACCTAAATGAGTTCCTCGCCCAGTGCCGCAGTTACCAGACCACCCCGCTCGATTGGCACCGCCCGCGGGCGTTCTCAGCAGAGAAAAACAACAATGAGCCAGGCCTCCTTGGCAAACGACTATTACGCGTCTACGACGCTTTCGGCGTGGCCTGGAACTCGGGCATCCACTAGCGCGGACCACCGCCCGACCACCGAACCGTGGGCCCAGGGCGGCCTGCCGCGCAGATGCCGAGGAAACTGTATACTCTGCGTACAAGGTGCCCAACGGCGAGCAGCGGCGGGCGGGGTCAGCGCAGTAACGACCAACTACGACGGCGCAAACGCATTTGCGGCCGCCAACAGGTTGCTCCCACGGGCGGTTGCTTTCAATAACGCCCACGGGCGCGACGCGCGCTGTGCGACGGCGGCCGTCGACCGCCCCGCCTTCAGCCTCGACAGCAGATGGACAAACCGAGGCCGAGAGCGCCACGGGCGCACCGCCGACGCCTGGGACATCTACGTAAGCCAGTGGTGGGTCGCCGCATGGGAACGACCCCGACCAATGGCTGCGCGACACATGCGACCCAGATGGTGGAAAAAATCACGCACAGGCCGCCCCGCAACAAGCGGGTGCGACTCAGATCGAGGAGCAACTCAACGACGCCACCGACCGCCTGTCAGCCACGCTGCAGAAGGGGGGCGGGGCCTCAACCACAGCAAGACCAACCGCCTACTCTACATCATTGGTCAAGGCAGCTATGGCACATCTCGAAAGCCCCGACGAGGCACCGCGCTCAAAGGCCGAGCACGACGAGAGATGAGGGTGCTCGGCCCTTACCTCCCAGCGGGCCAGGGCATCGCGGGCGGGATCGCTAGGCGCATCGCCGCAGCGCGCATCGCCCGGCGACATTGCGGGCGGCGCCTTCTGGACCAGCGAGACGCCCCGACAAATCAAACGACTGATGTTCATGGCCTTCGTCATAGGTGCAGCGCTTAGCGGCCTTGCAGCCCGCGTCGACACTGCGACCCGCACTAACGCCATTGACAGCATAATGGGCAAGTAT